AAAAAAAGTTTGCTGATGACTGCTCTAAAGAGAAGTTTTCCAAAAATGAAATAACCTCTAAAATCAAATCTTTACAAGTAACATTATGATTAAAATAAACATTTTATTACACTTTTTTCAATCATGTACTCCTGAACATATGTTAACTGATGTTAATATTATTTCTTCTTCTTGCAGCCTTTTCTCAAATGTGGACTATTTGCCAGAATAACTGAAACAAAAATATCCGATAAGAATGGACAGTAAAATGAAAACAGAATCTAAATGAAGGGAATGAAATAAAAGTTTCAATTTGAAATTACCAAAAGCTTAATAAGTACAACAGACACAATTCTGTGACTAGTGTTACAACTAGTAATTGACAAGAGCAATTTAAATAAATCAGTGTATAATAATGAGAATCCTTCATTTTAGAAATTCATCTCAATTTTGTAACCTTAGAAAATGCTTACTGAACATTTCATTACTAAGAGTAACTTTTAAAGATTAGTCTAATCTAATGTTTGCAATTCCAGTAATTGTAGGCAAGAAGTACTATTCAAGTGTTGCATTGCATATGTACAGAGTTTAATACTATGTTTTCAGATCTGGATGAAAGGATTTAGTTTTAATCTCTCAAATCCTTGGCATTTTTAAATTAAATTGTTTCTCTAAGTAAAAACAAACTCACTTCCATGAATAAGAAAGAAACAAGATAATCCATATCAACTAAAAAGCAATCAGTAAAAATATCTTAAGTAGAAATTCACCTGATCAAGTATTTTTCTCTTTTCTAATTGGTTTTTCATAGGGAATGATACAAATGAAGTATACACAAGGAAAGCTAAATGAATGCATTGGCTGAGATGCAGGTAAAAAAAAAAAAAAAAAAAAAAAAGATAATACATGAAAATCACCACAGCAATAAAAGTAACCAATGAGATTTGAATACTGATCAACCAATCAATCCTGATATTCATTAGATGAATCTTATTAAATAACCATAAAACTACAAATTAATTCACTATCTACTTCCAACCTTTGGCTTTTTGCCACATCTAAGCTACACTTAAGAAATAGCTGTCTACTTCCTTCTCTAGGTGCTTGCATCTGGTTGAGATCAACATTAATTCAATATCTTCAATATATTTTGGGGTAACATTTTCAAAAGTATTATTGTAGCATGCTTTGCATGTATGGAAGTACAACATTGAATCAAATGCAATAAAATATTTTAGTAGATATTTCTAGTTCCATGATTGTTTGAAATTAAAACTAGTCATCTCTAAAAAATAAACTTGTTTTAAATGAATCAACTACTTTTAAAACATAATTCAGATGGTGATGTAAATTCCAATAAGCTTTGGTTGTAAGTAAAATTAAGCATTTGTTTTATTTGTTTTACTGATTATATAAACAAGCAAATAAATATGACAAGAAATTATTTTGAAAGCAAACAAAGAAAGAACAAATAAGAAAAATGAAAAGTTTTATATTAAAAAAATAAAAAATTAAATTGTGAATTTTAAGGGATGTTAATTCAATGATTTAGTTTCAAAATGCATTCACCAGTTTTTGATTGTTTGCCAAGGGCAATGAGATCACCAGTTGGAGGAAAGGCTGAAAACCAAAAAGATAGTGATTAAAGAAAGAGAAAATGTGGGTAGACACCAAGCACATGACATTTAGCAGCTTCAAAGAAAAGGAAAAAGATCATTCCCAGATAATCAGTTCAAACATTTATATTAATCCTGAATTACATTTTAATTTAGGAAAGTTTTTTTTGTTATTCAGACATTGTCAACAGCATGCAAATACATTTGCAGGTTTGACTCATTAGTTAGAACATCATTGTTGTGGCTAAAAGGTCTGAGTCTCTTTCTCTCATGAAGAAGGTTATTATGAAAGGTTATTACTAAAAATCATTACCAAAAGGAAATGTATTTTTTACATGCAGAAGAGAATGTTCCAGGAGATAAAAAGAGTGATGATGGCACAAATTTCTTGGCTTTACAAAATGCAAGAGGAAATGCATTGATGACCTTGCACCCAAAATATACCAGTCACTACAGTATTTAAAATTAAATCACATTATTTGAAGAAATATCTTCAAATTCTTTCATGGTAAAGTTAACCATGACTCAACAATGAGAATCAATATTTTATTATTCAAACTGTGCTCAACATTTTCAAATCATTCTTAATTCAACAATGTATAATTTGATTTTACTCACCATTGCAAATGAATTATGACAGCAAATTTAATAAGAAAATGACTATTTAAAAATAATTATCTCAATAGATTATGTAAAAAGATAATTACAACTTTAACACTTTAGCCGCAATAGACATATACATTTTTTATAAAACTTACATTGCCTGCTGTCAATATATAAGTTTTTAAAACACCATGAAACATCAGTTCTTAGCATTTGTGCTATAATCTAACTAGCAGCACTTAGTGTTATTTCTACACCAGTGTAGAGATAGTGTACAATATGATCAGTTTTGTGGTATATTTTTAAAATATAGTGTGTTGGGAGGGAGTCTTCTTAGTCTTTACTGCAGAGTATCCAATCAAAATTAAAATGGTGGTGCCCATGAAAAATCAGTCAGCATCTTTATAGTCATTTATTTCTAGTAAATGGGAAAGAAACCAGCACAACAAAGCAAAAACAATGTAAAGATTAAATATATTTCCTCCAATTATTATATTAAGGAAGAGGAGGGGACACTTTATAACTAAAAAAAAAAAAAAAAAAAAAAAACTGATCCCCACTTTAAGCAGAATAAACATGACTTTACTTATGATGCAAAAAAAAAATGCCAGAATTTGTTAAGTCCTTTCTATTATTGGAAGCTTTTCACATGCAAGTCTTTAAATATAATTTTTCCAATTAATATTTTTTTACCCCGCTTTTCATGGAATCAGCCTTTAAACCTCAAGCTTCACAAACATCTTCAGTTTGCCATTGAAAGGGAGATAACTCTAGTACAGCAAAAAGCCATTACAGGCTAAAAATACATTTGGTGTGTTTTATTCATAAGAATTCTTATGTCCTTTGGGAGATTGTATCTGCAACACTGACAATTAACATTAAATTCTTACATTGGCCACATGTACAAAACACTCTCTTGTAGGTTGACTTGTTATTTGTCAAAATTTATGATAATTCACATACATATAGATCAATATGAATTGGGATCAGATATAGATCAAATCTGACAGAATGAGAGGATAAGGAACAAATAGGAAACATTTATAAATCTAACATGTTTCATATTTATTAAAGCTTCATCAGGTAAAGAAATATGGATGAGAAAAAGAAATTTCTATGTTTAATTTTTATATTGTTTTTATTGGTTAAACAGATCTCATTTGCATCTGTCTTATCAAACAGGGTTCATGTATATATTTCATGTCTTGTTTGTTTATGCGAGATTTGAAGGATAATGTATATTTGTATATGTATCTATTAGGCATTTTTAAAGAAAACTCTACTATTTTTAATTTTGGCATTGTTTGCTTTAAAATAAAAAGCCACCAATGTACAAAGAGGTACATTGACAAAACATCTAGGAATTTAAAAACCTACATCTACGAACATAAAAGAGACCTACATTGGGACAATCCTTTAAGCTCATTCATAATAGAAAGAAATAAAACAATCCATAACTTTGATTTTATAAATGCTACCCTATTTAGAAAAGAACATAATTTTTCATGCAGGAAATACTTTGAGGGAATTCTGATAAATAATTTACCATCTATAAACACACTTCAAATATGCTTTATTATATCACCAACTTTTCTAAAATACATACTTAAATAATTTTTCTACCTGCTACCACAACTAGTATAACAAATTCTTTCATCCTCACACAAAATATCCCCAAATCACTGTGGAAAACTACGAAACATGGATAAAAATGCCTACTAGGTGTGTACACACACACAAGTGAATATACATTATCATTCAAATCCCACATAAACCAGAATTATGATACACATAAATTATACACACAAACACTGCTTGACAAGACATATGCATGTGAGGTCCACTTAACCAATGAAAAACACAGAAATTAAAAATAGAGTTTTCTTTTTTTCCTCCATATTACATTTTCTGGTAAAGCTTTAATAAAAGTAAAACAGGTTAGATTCATTCATGTTTCCTATTTGTCCTTTACACTTTATTATATAATATTACGTTCGAACATATGTACCCACTACATCAATGCATCCATTTTCCGATGACTTATCATAGCATCTCATCAGGCGATGGTAAGGGATCATCACTAAAATCAGACAATCTTCTTAGTGTTCGAGTAGTGACTAGCACACTCATCGATGGCTTCCGAATAGTTTCGTCGTGTGTGTACCAAATTCCACTCACAAGGATTGGGTCAATCAGTAGTACGGTTTTCAGGCACTTCCCAACGGTAGCGCCCGTCGATTGGGATCGTCTCCCCAGAGTGATATTATCAAGGGGTCGCCTCCTTGACAAATTGACCCTGATAAGATTTGAACATGATTCTTCATCGTCGGAACACTAACGGTGTTGTAACCACGCAATTCGAATTAAATTAAATGGGGTTCGTGCCAAAGGCAGAAGTGTTGTTAAAACGACGTGGGATACTAAAGACAACAACAACAACAAAAAAATATTTCAGGGAAATGGAAGTTTGTAAATGTAAAGACTAAGTTCATTTTTTTTATCTGAAGTTGGTAGTAAAAGTAAGCAACATGTGAACTATAATTGCAGTAAGTTAATGTCTGGAAAAAAATTGGAAATAATTGATGCATAAATATTTTTAGAAACATTATGGTCAATTACGAAAATGCATGTCTTTAATTCTTAAATTCTAACCGAAGTGGATGAACGAAAAAAAGTCTGATAAAAAAAAAAATAAAATGTATCTAACCAAGTGTTTTCAACCGGTAAATCCGTAAAAATGTGCGATAAAAAATAAAATCTTTTTTTTACTCGAGAATAATAAAATTGCCACTCATACTCCACCTTTGCTCTTTCCCCTTTTACCGCTTCCAGGCTTCATGCTGTCACTTACACAAATACATGAAATAGAACGTTGAAGAGCCTTACAACGGACTGTTTTTAACAAAACGGTCACAAAGGAACTCAATGCAGTTTATTTGCCAACCATTTTTGTTGGAACAAAACTGCTTTTCAGGCTTCAAAAGAGTTCCTGACCAAAGGGAGATAACTGTAACTTACTCGATACTTGGCAATTGCCGCAATTGTAGACTGTATTGAAGTATATAGAAAGAACCCCCCCGAAAAACGCCGGATCATAATAGAAAATTCAAATATCTAGCCTCAAAGCAAATAAGAATTTAAAAAGCAAAGCAAAAGTCCGGAGTGTGGGAAAGAAAGCAGTGCATAGCGAGCGCATGGAGATAGTTGAAAAGCAAGGAAATCAGAAAATATATCAACAGGCAAAAGTAAATACGAGAAAGAAGAAATAATAGAGAAGGGGGGTAGGTGACGTCACACCGCGGGATCGTCTAATTTAACGTTGTTACTTTGTCTAGAGCGCCATGACAATATGCGATGAGGAGGGGGAGACTCAATCATCAGACCACTTGCTCTGATTAAGTAGTAAAATGTCAACAACGGCAGTCACGACAGTTATACTCCGTGTAATAAATATGGAGCGATAGTCTCCTTTTTTTCTTAAACCCACGGACAGATATTTAAAAGATAAAACACACACAAAAACAAAAGCACACCTCCCTTGCTTATATATAAATTTTTACCTCTGGTGCATTTCTCTCTCCACCCTCTGACCTTACACATGAATGAAGGACTGCTGTTGTAACCGTGGCCTGTTTAGTTGTAGGAAAGAGGGAAAAAAATACTGCTCTCATTCTTTTTCATGCGAAAAACACGGATATATTCAGACTCTGGGCAGTTTTTGATTATTACGAAAAAGGAAAAAATCAACTAAACTAAAAAAAAAGGTGAGTAAAAAATACAATCTTTTTTTTTTCTTGTCCACTATGATTGGATTTTTTTATTATTATTATTTTACTACTTTGTGCATACAAATTGTAAAATGCCCAAGATGCAATTGAATAAACTCTAATTAAAATATTGAAAATAAAAGGAGTCTTTCAATTCAAAAGACAAATTACAAATAATAAATAAATTCCTCGTATATCCAAAAACTCTTTCTCTATCCCAACAGAGTGGCTTTTTCCTTTAAAAAAAAAAAAAAAAAGCGGTGGGGACAGTAGTGACCCACTGGGACAAACAGATTATAATTTTATTGTACATTTATCTTAAAACTTTCATAAAATTAATTAAAAAATTATACTGGAAAATTTCAGTTGGTCATCGCTAACGATTTGCTCAGTGTTGTTTTTTTTTTTTTTTTTTTTTTTTTTTTTTAAGAAAACAGCACAGTCCTGTGAAGGACTTTTATAAACAATTCCTTATGAAGATAAGACATTCGGTTAACTAACAACGGTCGATTGATTGAATACTTTGATTTCTACATCCTTCGTTTTGAATGATTTTAAACATGTTTATTTATTATTTTTATCCTGGAACCTTGAATCATAATAATTTTTTAAGTTTGATATGTATAAAATAAAGACGTTAATAAATCTACATTAACAGTCCCTCTACAGTACACATTGCATGTAGGACATTAAAACCAGGAAGTGAATTGTTATTAATTTTAATTTAATTACTATGATTTTAATTTTTTTTCCTTTCATCTAAAAGTAAGACACTGACTGCCCTTAAAATATTATTTCATTATTTTATTGCTTCGTTTTTCGCTTTACGGTTTAAAAAAGGTTTGTTTGTTGTTGTTTTTTAAGCCCGTGTTCATGTATGCTTTTCTATTTTTATTCTGAACCTTCTTTTAAGTGCCACCGTAGTGGTGCCTCTCTAATTTTATTTAAAAATATTCTTGTCTAAACCTGTCGTGAAGATAAAATAAAAACCGGAATTTCTTCTTCTCTTTAATCATCTCGGTCATTGATAGTGTTTGGATGAGAGATTTATTAAGCAAAGCCCAAACAGGTGATTGATTTTATTTTTCCTCACTCGCTCTTTTTAAATTGTAATTGAAATAAACCGCTGTCTTATGTCACTGATTATCACACTTGCGGCTTCTTGCTTATACATCCCATCGATAATGTATGAAAATATCGAATAAATAAAATTTTAAAAATAATATTGCTTTTATGGTCGCATAACTTTTTTTGTAAATGCAAGGATAGTTTTCAAATAAAACGCGTAGAAAATAAGTTTTTCTCGCCATCGCCACGTTCTTTTCTTTATTTAAAAAATAACTGTATTGTATAGAAATGATTTGTAACAAATGATATGAAACAAAACAAATAATATCCATTTTGCGTATGTGTGCGTGCTCAACATTTTTTTTTTTTCAAAGTGCAGAGTTGATCTTGAAGTGAACAGGTACTACACATTGATCTTAAAGCGCACAGGTACTAGGAAATGTAAGCAAAAGTGCCGATCAATTCATACGTAAATAATCTCGTTTAATAATTTTTTTAAAAAATATGTACTGTGATAAATTAGCTTATTTTGGTAAAAGCGTTCAGTGAAGAAGATTGAACCATAAATGAACTCGCTGTAATAAAGTGTAAAAATGGCTTGCGAGATGAGTAACTGCCCTACGGCAGTTTCTTTGTGTGTAATGTTGCAGAAAACAATTTTGTAAGCTTCAAGAAATTACTCAAATTGACTGTTGCAATTGCTTCTGTGATTTATTTATTTTTTTTTTTATTTCCTTCTTTTGACAAACAAAGAGGGAACGTTATTGAATGTTAGCTAAAAAACGTACCGTTAAAAAAATTAAAGCTTAATCGAGTATTTCTTGTAAAAATCAGAGATGTTTAGTTTGTTTTTTTTTTTTGTTTTTTTTATAAACTCCTGTTCATTACAAACCCTCTCTTTGATTATAGGTCTTTTCTTTTCCAATTAAAAATAAACTAGCTATTTCGATTTTTTCGTTTGTTATTTTTTTTTTTATTATAAAGAATCATATTTTTAAAGTTTGTTTTTACTATAAAAGCTAATCGAAGAGTAGAAAATTCACGAAGATTTGATTGAATGGCGAATAGTGGGAAGTGTTCAGTTCATCGATCCTAAGACTCAATTGAGCATAAGAAAAAAACAAACAAACTGAATTCATTCCCATAAAATAGTTTTTTTTTGTTTGTTTTTTTAGTAGGACTCCCTTTTTAATACAAAAAAAAAATGAAAACACGTGTCAATTGGCCCCAATTGACACTCGACTCAAATATTGATTGTGCTTTTCGAAAGTTTTTAAAAAACATTTGTTTCCTTCTTAAACAAAATAAAGGTAAATTAAAAATTATTAGTGACATTTTACCGTAAATTTACTACTGTTATGCAAAGAATAAAGTCTGTGTCAACTGCAGTCAAAAACTTCGGCTTTTTTTTAGTTTGGCCTTGTGAAAAGGGGCGGGGGCAATTTTTTTTTTTTTTAAGTCTTCGATTTTCATTCCATTTTTCTGCTGGTGTAAAACCCTTGATCCAGAAACTAATCTGAAAACAACATGCTTCTCCTTTTTACTTTAATGCAATTTTCATTTCTTATCATTTCTTAAAAGAAAAAAAAAACAAAAAAGCTTATTGTGCTCCTCTTGTCGTTCATTGGATTTATATTCCAGGCCAATCGAACAGGTGGGATTATTTTGGCTTTAAACCATGAATTTATCAGTCTTGAATAATAATAAAAAAAAAAACATCGGCTTTTAAAGTTCATTTTTAGTAGTACATTTTTTTAAGTTCATTATTAGTACATTAAAAAAAGAAAAAGAAAAAAAGCTACCTTGCACAAAAAAATGTGTAGACCCCCCCCTCTACAGTTCACGTTTTTAAGATAACTTTTTTAAAAAGTAGAGTGATTTGGGTTGGGCCATGACCGATATCGGAAGAAGGAAAATCAAAATTTTACTTGGGGATGGATTGCAGTTCAATTTTAATTTTTTTTATTAACTCCAATGCTGAACGTTTTCTCTTAGTTGGGCCCTAAAAATAAATAGTCACCCTAAATAACTTTTTTTTAGGGTGACTATATTTTTTTCTCCCGTGACATTTTCCCAGCAGTCTGGCATCACAAATGAATACGAGTTGAAAAAAATTGTATTTTTAAACCTTTTATTTTTTTTTAGCCAGGTACCGCCAAAATTTGAGCTAAAAAATCTTAAAAACGCATTTTAAATATTGGAAAATTAAATGGCTTGGAAGTTTGTTTTATTAGCTTTTTTTTTTTTTTTTTTTTTTTTTTTTAACATTTTAAAACCCGTTCACTCGTCACCCATCAACTAAATCGAACCGCCATTATAGATGGAAAATAAACAGCAAATTTAAAATTGGAAATCTATTTGTTAAAAAGTTCCAAAATAATTTTTAAACTTAACAAGATCTTTGTAAAAGAAATGCTTACTTTTTGCTGAAAACAAAATGAAGATAAGGTTTATTTATGGACGGTAACTTGTGATGTCATAGGTCAACAACAGTCGTTTTCTACTGCCACCTCCGATTTTATGAAATACGGAACACCAACAGTGTAATAATCAAGAAATTGGTATTTATCTTTTAATCTTACACATAACCAATAATTTAAGATTATGAATTTTATTTTTTATATCACACAGAAATATTAAAAATTATTTAAATAATGTTTCTGAATTTAAATTCATAACATTTTTCTCACCTTTTGATGTCATAAAATAATTGCATCCAATGAGGTTTTATAATTTTCTTTTTTGTTTGTTTGTTGATTTGTTTTTTGTTTAATTTTTAAACTAAAAAAAGAGGTGCTAAAAAATAACTGGAAGGGGGACTGATAAAAAAGTCAATAGCAATAGATCACCCGAGACTGAGATAATTATACAATACAATACAAATGGTCTTTGGCAACCGGAAGAATTTCAAAATTTTGGGAATCTTCGGCTCAAACATCGACTATTAGACGCCGGTGAGAAGTTCAAGCACTTTATAGCATGAAAGGCAAGGACTATATAAACAATAAGTAAAATCAAACTCCTTAAAACTAAACTAAGAATAACTTGTTGCATTTCCGAGTTAAATGTGTAATAATTTTTTTTCAATAAATCTTACGGGAAAAATTAAACTTGACTGAATTCTCATAATTTAAAAAAAAATGGTTCTCAATTGAATCTATTTCATTTAAATTGTTTTTAATTGCACTTGAATAGTTAGTAATAAATTAAATAACACATGTCATCAGAAGATTAAGAAGTTCAGTTAAAAAGCTGAAAAACCGGAATTATTGCATAAGTTATATAACATTACATCAAATATTTCGTGATAATGGTTAGCAAGCTTGTCAATATATTGCTATATATATATATATATATATATATATATATATATATCAATTACGTACGACTGAATTGTGAGTTCGATCCTCACTGGGTGCCCCATACTTTCGGAGCTTGTGCCACAACTAAGCTAGGGTTAAGAAGGTTATCACAAATTGACAAATATTTTCAAATTAAAAACTTCAGTTCACGCCAAAAATGAACATGAACCATTAATAAATCGAACGATCACCCCACACACGCATACAAAATTAGATTTATCGATCACCAGCTGCAAAGAACTACAACACACACCATCTTTTTTTTTTTTCTTTTTTTACTGTAGTCAAGTTAAACACTTGGTAAATAAAAGCACGGATTGAACGACCTTGTTCTGAAATTGTGATGTGTAAGGATTACGATAGAACCCCACCCAAAAGCAAAACTGATTTATTATTATTACTCAAGCAAGTCTGTTTTACCGCAACTGACTTAAATCCGAGGTCGTAAAGGAAAGAGATTAAAGGGAGTGGCATTGTCTATTTTTGATTGACAAATAATTTAAAAAAAAAAAAACGACTTTGTAATAAGAAGTGCTACTCTCGGACAAAAAGTTTTTTTTTTTTTTTTTTTTTTTTCTTTAATTTGTTTCTTTCATATTTTTCACTTTCAAAGCCCAACGTAGTCTTAAAAAAAACAAAATTTGTTTCATGAAAATGAAACTTGTATAAAAAGCGCACGCTGTCTGTTTTTCAGTTTTCACTCACATCCCTCTTCTTTCAACAAGCAATTTTCTTAAACTTTGTCTTTTTTTCCCTTTTTTAATCTTTTCTTGATTTTCACAAGGACTCAAATGGAGTACTTTTCCGTTTGCCCAATGCCTACGACCACTATATATATATATATATATATATATATATATATATATATATATTAATACAAAAAAATGTTCTACAACCAGTAAAAAACTGTTTTTTCTTCTTCTTATCAAATGATTATTTTCGTACTTTTCCTTTTTGGCATAAACAAAATCACGTGTTCGCTTCTCTCTTCTTTTTTTTTTTTTTCTTTCATTGATTCATTCCAATGGATCGACTACTTGAATATTTTCTCCTTTCTGATTATAGTTACTACATTTTTCGATCACCTCTCTTTTCACTCGTCCAGTTTCACTTGCCGGGATATTTACTAAGTAAAGCTTCGTTTTTTGGCACATGGCCACAACTTTTGGTGCAGCAAAACGAAAAACGACCTCACCTCCTAGACCGTAACCATTATTAAACCACAACGGGACGCCACGCATACCTTGTAATAGTTATTTTTAAGTTTGGTAGTTTTGCCTTAAGACAACAATCTCATTATTTGGTACAGAATAATTTGCGATATAAGCTCGTTAACCATTACACCATGACAGGTTACTCCATTTGCTTACGAAAACTTTTTTGCGCATATAATATTCCAGATGAATAAAAAACATCTGTAAGCAAAAGGATTGTTAATAAAGATAATAATACAAATACAATTTTTCACTTACTTAGCTGATTGAGCACCTCGACTCCAGTGTTTCGTAGACGGATTTTTTTTTTTTTTTTAATTTTTTCGGTTCACCCATATGTGACCTGATGAACCAGGAAAAATATGTTCTGGGGAAATAAATTATGGTCATAAATTAAGGTTGTCTATTTCTTAATTATTTAATTAATATTTGCTCTGGTTTTACATTGAGCTCTCTGGATCACATCCTCTTTGGAATTTTCCACACTGATTACCAAACCTTTCATTACTTTACTATCTATCTATATAATATATATATATATATATATATATATATATATATATATACACACAGTGTAACCCGGATATAAGAGATTTTCTCTGGTCCCAAATTAGAGCCTGTGTTAATGTAAACAAAATAGACCAAATCCGGATATAAGAGACCTCTTCTCCGGTCCCGACAACTCTCTTATATCCGGGTTACAATATATATATATATATATATAATATATATATATATATAATCTGTTCAGAATCGAAAAATATTTAAACGCAATAAAACTAAGACATTATTTAATTAGAAAAGCTTTTAATTGCTTTTATGAATAATACATATTAAAAACATTGTCTGAAGGAAAAAAAATTCGATGAAAAATGAATTTTTCGAAGATTTGTTTTCATTTTTTTTTTTTTTTTTTTTTTTTTTTTTAAATTGAATAATTTATAGTTTTAAATCTTTTAAAATTCATTTTTAATGTGATAATTCTTAGGAAATATTGTTATTCAGAAAAACTATATTTACTAATGATTTATATTGTAAAGCTTATTACAATCTGACAACTCCGAATATTTTTAAAAGAATTAAGGTTTGTTTTTGTATGTGATTACGTGCAGAATTTCTGAAGTATGGATATACAAACCGATAAATTTATCATTAAAAGGTTACGTGTTTTAAGTGTTGTCCCCTATAAACTTTATCGTCTACTCCACCATGCTTAATTATGAACACGTTCAGCTGTCCTTAAACCGTTTAACACGTTAGAAAAAATGTTTGTATACATTTTATGCTACAAGTAATATTTGTTTCAAATAAGATTAATTTAACTTAATATTTGCTAATTTTCCTCAAATAACGTTTTAGAAATATATTTTATTTTTGCAAGATTTTTAAAATCAAGAATTAACTTTTGTTTACACATGTCAAAAATGGCCAATATATATAATTTCTGCTCGAAACACACCAGAGAATATTTTGCTGATTGGAAATAGTAAATTTTAAATCCTTTAGTTTTCAATTAAAGCTAAAATGAAAGCTCCAAGAAAGCTTTTTCGTTTTTAAAAATGTATTCCTTACGTATATCAAATTAGTGGAGTTACATATATCAATGACACGTGTTATTCCAGTCTTTCCAGACGGCACCAAGGAATTTGCATAAGGAATAGAATATTGTTGAAGTTCATAATTGAATACAGCATTCATTTGTGATCGGTTATATGAAGTGACTGAACTATTTTTATATAACCCAAACTCTTAACATTACCGTTGATAAATGTTTAAACATTTACAGATATAACGAGACAAACAAGCGTTCGTCAATCATTAAAGATGCATAAAAAAATTTAGCTACTATTTCTGGTATCCCAAAACCTAATTTAGGCTTATGGTGTCATAACGTTCAAATACCGGTTCCCTTACGATCATCGGCGTTAAGCAACCTCGAGTCTGGTCAGTACCCAGATGAGTGAGCGTTTGGGAATATCAGGTACTGCAAGCTTCGATGTTCGGGTGGTGTAGTGGGTAATGGCTAGAAATGATTAATCGGGGAGCTGCTGGGTTTGTTGTATTCACTTATGCACAAATACCCTTGGGAAAGGTATTAATCTGCACCACCCCCCCGTTTGAAATTTAGTAATTATCTACAAAAAAATTCTTTACAGTCAAAAAAAATATATCCAGGACACATGGCCCAGTGGATAGAGACGTTGGTTAGATCCAGTGACTAGACCCAAAGAGTTCAATACCAGGCCACAGCAGTGATGAAGCAAAACTTGGAGAGTTGAGTTAAAGGGAAATAACTGTGCTATCCGGAAGAGGCATGGCAAGTGGAACTATAACTACCCCAGTGGACGGAATAAAGGGTTCGTTTCGAAATTCCATTCACCCGAAGAAGGCCGGAGCGTGCAACAGCCGAAACGTTGTGAATATGGCAATGAAGATGAGGATAACACTCCGAATAATGTAAATAATGCAAGTAATCATAGTACCTCATCTCAGAGATATAGACAAATATCAACAAATATTTTCTGTTTTTAAATAACCTGCAAAGGGTTAAGCAGTAAAATCGAATGAACCAAATCTGTTTATATTTGACATTAGTGTAGCATATTTTAAACGAATTCATTAAATAAAATATATCCTCTGTTAGAATAAATTAAAATGTTTATTGCTGTTGCGTTTTGGAGATCAGGTTTGATTGGAAAATCATATTTTATTAATGTACTGAAAACCTGTGTAACCTTAATGCAAGAAAGTATCGTCAAATTTGAACACTTACTTACAGATCGCGACAGCTATTAGGCAGATATGATTAAATATAGTTTGTTTTTAAAAAAAAATGTTCAGTAATATCTAGCTAAAGAACTCTTCTCTATGCTGGATTCAAGATTGTTTATGGATGGCAGTAAAACTCTTTTCTTCAAATTGATGGTGAACTGATCTGCTTAGCTTAATGAAACAGAAATTTGCTCAACACTATTTCTTATACTGAAAAGTCTGGGAAGTAACGTATATATTAAGAATTTTTTTCTTTTTAACAATCTTTGTAAAAAGAATTGTCAGTGTCAACGATATACCGTTGGTAAGTTTCCACTGAAGCAATACCATGAAAACTACAGAAATTATTCTGTGACATTTCTTTTTTTCTTTCCAAAGCAGACACATATTTTTCTTGAACCGAACTGTGATCGTTACTGTTCAAGATAAATCCATCATATGAGCTAAGCATTTATTCCCCACCCAATCCTTATAGAGATCGCACGTACCCATAGATTTTTAGTTCCACTAGCTGTTAGAGTACGACCCACTATTTCCACGGAATCAAATTACCTGTATTTATTCCGATTTATTCCGTATTCCAAATGTAAAGAAAAGGTTCCTCTCTGATAGCCTTTTCCTAAGAATGCCACTTTGTGGGACAGTTTCCGAAATGTGTTTTTCTCTTAGTACTTTGATCTTGACCTCTGCAAGTCAAGTGTTATCTATCCTTCTTACCACACTTATAATCTTCTCTTCCGCTTACCTAGCTCATCATTACTATTTCAACTCTGACCCTCTGCCTTAAATGGCTCTCGAGCCTTGTATTAGGTGACATTTAATTAAAAAAAAAAATGAAAAAGATGTCTTCTTAGTCCAATAAATACACATAGCCAACATGAGAACTTTACATAAAATATTTTAGTCGGATTTAGACGTCAGTTATGTACCATGCGTGATACACGCTTAGGCGATCATGTATCTCTCGATACATGACTGACGAGTCAGATTTTTTTCCCGCAGTAGGTTGCCATTTCTTTCTGCGGTAGACCAGTTGCCATCCAAGGCTACAGAACCCGGTCTGTCCTGCTATTTACCCATAGCTGGGGGGAGAATAAGAGGATTCATACCTTTCCCAAGGGTATTAGCACGTAAGTGAATGTAAAGGATTCGACTGGAATTCGAACTCGGCTCTCCGATTCCTCAATAGACAAACTCTTTCCAATTAGATATTTCCCTAAAACAGCTGGTAATCTTAATCAGGTTAATGTCTATTTAATTTATTCAAGAAATGGTCGTTTGTCACCATCACAAAACCATCTTTCTGTCGAACATATAAGGTATTGGAATTTCAATAATAATTATCATAAAGACATATTTTAACTTATCTCGTAGCTAGCCAAGTTATTAGGTACAGCCCAACCTCGAGGTTTTATTAAAATATAAGAAATCGATGTTATCAACATTTATATGCCAATCTTGTTTCTGTTAGCACGAAGTATCAATATGCTAAACCTTCAGCCATTGTTTTATGAATATTGTAATTTCACGTCACGTTACATCAATTTTACTTTGCAGTGATGTTGTCTTCGGACGAGCATCTTCCTAATCCCCCCTCATATTCTTAATACGCTGACAATTCTAGTTAGAAAAAAATTCTTGAATAATAATTACAGGTCTTCTTGGAAAATACTGATAAATATAACAAAGATATGGATGCTAGTTTGATAGAAGCACTGAATAATAACAGTACTGACGTAAATCTTTTTATAGCGCTTTGCCGATATTGCTATTTTTTTTTTTTTATAAACTGAAAATTTGTTTGCAATTCTCTATAGGATTACCCGGATAGATATATATTTGATGAAGGCCGGAAAACACAACGGCAGAAACGTGATAATAACAAATATGTTTAACCAAAAAAAAAAATCATTTGAATTGACTTATTGTAGTTTCATTTTCAGATCACAATAATATCTCCCAAGTATGTTTGTAGCTAGAAATTAAGCCAGGGATTGTTAATAAATCTTGTCCTAAGTCTGTAAGAAAGTCTATTAATGCCAAATGGGTTGTTTCACTCGAAATTGTAATGTTTCGTCTATAAGGCTACTTTACACATGGAATGAAGAAATTTGAGTACTTTGAAAAAAATAGTTTTAATTGGTCAGTGTTGTAACCATGATATTCATGGTGACAAACCCTCTTGTTAAATTACAATTATTTTGTTTAGTATTTACTAAGATTTGTTTTATTTTTCACAAGGTTGTAATAGTGAGTCACTTTGAGAAGCGAACTCGTTACCCTGGTGAATTGATCTGTGGCTAATCTGTTAAGTTTGTTTTGAAGTTAATGATGTTATCATTTGTTGATTTTTTTTTTTTTTTTTTTTTTTATCTCTACGCTCAGGTCGTCTTACCTTGTATTGAATATTGCGTCTGATCTGGTGCTTCTATTTGTCTAGAGATTCTTGACAAAATCCAAAGATTAAGCCAATAACTTGGATTGAAAGTAAAGAATAAATCTTCCAATGAGATTTAAAAAGTTATCCTTTATCCTCTGGAATTTGTCCAAAAACAAAAACTGAACCTAAATTAATAGTGACAATGCTTTTAAGAATTTCAGACAACTGAGGAGTAGTAGAAATACGTCTGGTTGCAGCATGTGACTTCACATAATGTCAGAATAGACTTTACACTTGTTGTCCATCAAAGAAGCCAGGTGTATTAGCGGGTTGACCTGAAAGACGACAGATCCCACAGTTCACATGATGCAAGTGAATATAAGTGGGTGTGGTATGAAATGAAGATATGGATAGATAACGATTGAACCTAAACTTCGAACTAACCTAGGAAAACAGTGTCCATAATAATCCTCTCTATATAGTATTTAATGCAGTAACCTGGGACAACAAAGAACTAAGCCTTTACGTTAATTCCAACAAAGGAAGTTACTTTTGTTTTTTTTTTCTAAAGAGTTACATGCAGAAAGTGTTTATTTGCTGTACACGAAAGAATATCTTGTGTAGAATTCTGAAACTTGATATGCGTACTTACTGGGCCCATAGGAAGATGTTTATGTATCTTTTTTTCTGTCTATATTTCTGAGATGAGGTATTATGTACCGAATTTACATTATTCGGACTATTGTCCTCATCTTTGTTGCCATATTTATCACAACGTTTCGGTCGTTGTACGCTCTGGCCTTCTTCAGGTGGTTGGAATATTGAACTGAACCCTTTATTTCGCTAATTGGGGTAGACTGTTCTAGTTCCCCGTGCCATGTCTAATGGAGGTATGGGACGTGGAACTAAAACAATCTTACCCGGTGGATAAAGTAAAGGGTTCAGTTCAAAATTCCACTTACCTGAAGAATGCACGAGCGTACAAAACGTCGTGAATATGGCAATAAAGATGAAGACAACAGTCCGAACAATGTAAATAATGTAATGAAATATCTTAGTAACAGATACCGTTTGTAAACTTTCGATATAAGGCTATAATTTCTCTTTTTATTAACGCCCAGACAAAATATTTTCTGTCTGAATTTCTGTGATAAGGCGCTAGCATAATTTACATATGAATGATTGTCCTCAACTTTATCATCACAACGCCTCCGCAAATGATTGATTCGGATAAGCTCCTGGGGAATTTCGAACTGAACCCTGATTGTTCTCGTTCCACTATGTCGAGGGATATCTCGTCTTGTTCGCATTTAATACTTCTCAATGGGAACAGTATATGGATGGTATGGCTGATTGATTGATCGATCGATTTGTTTAACTGCAAATCATTGCCGAAATTTAATTCTTGGGAGCTGTGAAGTAATAAAAATGTTATTCTGCTTTCACAGTTGAATACATGGTAGATGATACTCAGCTTTTTTTGTGCATATACATGTTAATTGGTTGGCTGATTTTGTTTAGCGGTATGTAACTTCTGTGTTATTTTTATGTCGAAATCTAAATATTTTCTTCATAATTTTATACTTTCAGTATAAAAGGCATGTTTTTTTAGGTATAGTTTGTAGATCATAAAATATATTTTTGGTAATTTTACTATAAAAATGTATTTTTAATTTTTGTTTGGGTTTTTTCACTATTTGCCCATAGCTGGGGCACTAACGGGTGCTATCACCCCGGGTTAGGGTGGACCTGGGAACAACAGCAATTAAGAGGTAGTTCCGCGCTCCTCAAAAGTGCCAATCTCACGATCAGAGAGGCCTTGTTGTCGGATGTAGTTTATCGTCATACCATCGCATGTGAATAATAACAAATTTTTCATTGACAAAAAAATCCTAAAATAGATTTATTTATTAGTTAGAAATTTCATTCGTGTCATTCTGCGCTATGTGAATCGAACTTAATTCTGCCTTGTTGCTTGAAGTAGACCAGTTCGCCATCAGTGCAAAGCAATCGTTTTGAAATTTACACTGCATAGACTTTCAGCACGTACGAAATAGATTGGTTGAAAATGATCACACGACGAAGAATGGTTGTGAATGCAGCATTAGATTGAGTGTCACTGGTAAGAGTTCAATTCTAAGCTGTGAGTAGCTTAATGACTCTTGTCCATTATTTACCGAGAGAAAAAAAAATAGAACCGATAAGCTATTTTTATCTGCGTTGAGGGATAAACCAATGACCATACAACCAATATTCAGTGTACTCTGAGTTTGAAAACAAAATGTGAACGCATGACAGATAAAAATGTCTTTTTCCAAGTCTAAATCAGATTTTCTAGTCTTAGCCAAAGATAAATTCTATATGTTACAAACATATATAGAGGTACCGTCAAAGATTCGCTAAAAAATGAGCTTACACTAAAACAAAGCTCAAAACCATTTATTTTAAGTAAGAGGAAAGATCAAAAGGTTTTTTTATGTAATTTCTTTCTTTAATCTTTTTTTTTTTTTTTTTAGAACTTTCGGAATTCTTGTTTCTTTCAACGTGAACCATAAATTAGCACGGGAAATTTTAGTGTCTTTTTTGCAGTGAAAAACACATTGATTGCAAATTCATGCAAAAATCAGATAATTGTTATTCTGAAATTTTTTTTTCTTAGAAAATCTTGATTCATTTTTTTTTTTTTTTTTTTTTGTCAAGCAGAATCCCCAATTACAGAAAACTTGCTCTGGATCGTAAAATAAAAAATGCAATAAAAGGAAACTTATTAGAAATACTCTTACTTAAATTGCTTTCACAAATAATGTTTTATGGACACTTGTCTTAAATTTCGATGAATAATGATTTTTTGAATTTTTTTTTTTTTTTTTTTTTTTTTTTGTACAAGAATTTTCATTTTTAAAATAATTTAATTACAATAAATGGATAAACTTTTAAATCTTAAAATTCTATATTTGTAGTGGTCAAGTGATATTGTTATTAAATAAAAACATAATAATCATAAATGGAAAAGCTTACAAGAATTTAATCGGCTCCCAGTATTTTAAACTAGTGTCGGTAAACGTGCCGATTTTTGTAAATACGGATATCCATACACGACATTATCAGAAAATTAGAGAGGTAATTGTAGTTAATTTTAAAATTTATTGGTAATTTTCTAACTTCATTTCATTAACAAGTATTTTCGTAAGTAAGACTAAATCGAATATTTAAAATTTTAATGATGACAAAGTAGTTAAAAAAAAAAGTATTTAAAAAAAGGTGCTTGTGTTGTTTGTAATCATCTTGTAATTTTACAAGAATTTCCCCCTTTACATGAATCTCGCAAACATAAGTTTAAAGTAAACGATGTGCCAACACGTATAATGCTTTTCTGCGATAAACTAAAAATAAGTTATATTTGTTTTGATACAGATTAAGCCAGTTACTTTTCTGAAACTTTATCAGAGGAAGATTATTTCATTTCTGAAAGATTTTTAATAAAGAGAATTATTCTATTGCCGATTTTAGAGATTTTACTGATAATCATTCCAATCAATTTAAATTCGGTTTGAAATACAGCAGCAAAGTGTTTTGCTTATTAGAAATATTAAATTTAAGGAAGCTATTAGCTTGGAATTAAAACTAATATAAAAACTTAAAAAATTATTAATTTCTAAAATGTATTTTAAACCTTAGAGATATCTATGCAATGGCAATGATATTTTTAATATCTCTAAAAATTGTTACACAAGTTGTTTTTTTTTGTTTTTTTTGTTTTTTATTTTACGTGGACTTCAGTATAAATATTTTGCATCCTTTAGTTTTTGTCGCAGACAAGATTACAATCTTACTGCAATAATGGATTGGAGAGGTATATATTTTGCATATCAACAGAGGTAGTTGAAAAATATCTACACCCTTCAATTCTTTGTTAAATATCAGTATCTCTGGTTACCCTAAATTCTGACCAGGCCATTGGGAGTTGCTATGGGCGGCGGTTCTGGATTTCTTATCTACAAAATTCGATGCGAGTGGTACGTGATTTCGTCAAAATAAGAAACTGTGTACCTGCATATTTTCAGTAGAAAGCGTTTTTCGTCTGCTTTATTTTTATTTTATTATTTTTTTTATACATGAGAAGGGAAACTTGTTCATTGCGTTAGCTCTGTTATCGTTGGCGATGTTGGACTGGCGGCTGCGTGGATTATTTGTACATTAGCGGTGGTCATTGTTCCGTTCCCAAAGCGGATTCTATGATTACAGATGGCCTCTAAATGCGATAATCACAGCTAAGTGAACCAGCTGTATGTCAAAATGCACGTCGAGAAGCCTTTTCTTTTTTTTCTTTCTTTTTTCTCCCCTCTCTATTTTTGTTACCTGGTACAGTATTTCATCCATTACCCATAGCTTTATTTTCTTCAGAGATTATCCGGATGTAAAATGAAGAGAAAAAATGAAATCGCCCTAACATTTTCAATAATCCGAACTAAAACCATTCTGATATTACATTTCGGACAAATGTTTTGAGAATATAGATAAACCATAAATGTTTGATAAAATCACTAGTAAAAACAGTTCAATTGTTAATTTCATTTCGTTATTTTCATTCTAAGAACATACATTTGATTGAATTCCCACAGCTTTCATTGAGTAATTTGTGACATCAAAAATCTATGAAAATAAAGCATAGATAATTAACTGGTTCAATGCAGACCACCCTAAGTGACCAGGGTATTGCTGAAGGGTGATAATATTTTCCATGTAGAAATACAGCGGGCCCCAATGCCTAATGTTGAATTTCTTTCCTAAAAATATTTTCTACAGTCTGTTCAATAGGTATTCATTTATGTGGAATTTTGAATTATCTGTACATTTTTTTTTCAATCCTTGTAACAAGGTGTCCGAATAATCGAGGCATCCTTATTTACAAAGCTTTTAACCATAATTGTGTACGGCACCTAAGTGATAGTCTGAAATTAGTACATTGTTGACTATTATTATTACTTCACAGCAAGACGCCTCAATTTAAGTCCACTCCTAATTTAATTCGATGTAAGAAAAATACATTTTTTTTATTTTTAAACAACGTTATCTTTTTTTTTTTTTTTTTTTAACTAATAATAAAAACTATAAAACGAGCAATACCGCTACTACTGACTGAAAGTGTTAAAAAAAAACGGTGCTTGGTAGGTTAAGTTTTAAAAGGTTAAACGTTGTTATAAAAAAATATTCATATGAGGCTGAGCAAGGTGTGTGTGTGGGGGGGGTGATTGTTCCTGGCTTGGTCGGCAGTGGATTTTAAAGATTCTAAATCCCAAAAGATAACAGGAAAAATAAATCACTTATGTAGGTTCTGGGCGCACCGTAAGATTGTTTGAGATATGAGTTGCGATTCTTGGTGGTTTTGCATTTTCAATTTCCTTATCGTCAGTTCCGATATGGTGCTGTTCCATCTCTATCGGGTCTTCATTGGCTAACTTCAAATAAATTTGCATTTATTTGTTTCATTCAATCCAGAAGTTTTTGAATTTATTAGCTATTTTTACTTTTTCAGGTGTTTGTGTGTGATTGGGCGTCATGCACAAACCTTTGAAACGCATATTTTGTTAATTTACGTTATTCGGACTGTTATCTTCGTCTTCATTGCCACATTAACAAAGTTTCGGCAGTTGTGCGCTCCGGCCTTCTCCAGATGATTGGAATTTCGAACCGAACCCTTTATTTCGTCCACTAGTTCCACGTGCCATGCCTCTTCCGGATGTCTCAGTTATTTTCCTTTAACTCAACTCACCAATGTAGCATGTGCTGAACTCTCAACTCTGTTTGGTCTAGTCACTGGATCATGTGTCCATGAGCATATTTTGTTATATACGTTTACGCAATTTTCCTTACACTTTCGATTTATTTTTAATTTTATAGTATTTCTCGTATTTAATTTTCAAGTTAGTGTGTAACTCCTAGTAGAATATTAAAAGGTCCAACTACAAGAAAATCGCCGGACTTGAATTAAGTCCAACTGAAGACAAACAAGACCGAGATATAACAAATATGTATTAAAAAAAAAAGTTTTACAATGGACATAGACAATAACATTTGTATATGTGTGTGAATAGTTGCGTTTGTTCTTTGGTGAATGTTCGTACATACGTGTATGTGTCTTTAATTTTCACGGCGTCTCCCACAAATGGGAAGACGCGGATCTTCTAAGAGAGCTTACACTGTAGTCGCTGAAATGAAAAAGGATTTACCTCACCTCCACGCGAGGTGGGATGCGGCACGAAGCCTAAAGGAAAGAATATTTATTGCACAAATAATACAAATATGGCACAAGGCCGAAAAAAGGGAATGGGGGTGGAAAGGATGGTCATCATCTATTTTAACTTTAAACTTAGCCGAAATTGGAAGTTTACCCCGGTAGTAGGGGTCTGCTTACAGTACCAGGTGTTCCCATGCGGTCCCCCATCTAAGTACTGACCTGGCTCTACGATGCTTAACTTCGGTGATCGAACGAGAACCGGTGTTTTCAGCTTGATTTGACCGTAAGGAAAGAGAACGAGGGAAGGAGTTGCCCAGTATTTAATAGTATAGGGAAATACTCCTAGTGAACAATTAGGGAATTAAGGAGGAGCTAACTCCGACAGGACTAATATCTTCATCTTGGTTATTATAGTCACAACGTTTTGCTCGGTGTGCCTTCCGACCACCTTCAGGTATCTGTCATAGTTACTAAAATTCCTTTTGGAATTTTGACCTTAGCTTTTTATTCATCTACGAAGGTATTTTTCCGCTGTCTATGATCGGCGATATAAGAATATTTCACCTCCCTGTATTGGCGGTTCGGTTCGAAATTTCTAGTAATGACCAATCACAATAGATAGGTCGGAGGATGCAGTCGCCGAAAAGTTATGACCATAACAACGATGAGGATATTGGTCATTTAAATCAGTGTGTGAGAAATAACATCAATAAACGAGGACTTCCTGCATATATAGGAATTTATAATGGTTAGTTTAGTCTGGCACAAGATCAGTGTAAAGAAGGTTGTACTACACCAATTTCCCAAACGGGAAAGGTATTTACTAAGCTTAGTCTGGCACAAGGCTATATGTATGGGATTCCTTATAAGAATCGAAATTTCAGCACAGCATTGTTGTGCAAGGCGTCTATTATTGCTCTACGGCAGGGCCTCCCGATCAGTATTTAGTATTAAAATCTAATAAATAGAATTCTTATGATACTTTACTTGTTTAAAGAACAAGCTTATTAGAACTGAATAGTGAGTTCTTTCGGTCTTGTATCTTACTAGGTCAAGTTTAGTAAATAGCTATCACTTTTTATATGACAAGGTTGTTTTATGTCCATTGATAAGGCCAATCCAATGTTTTATCAGTAAATCATCACATGTTGAATGTTGTTAATGAATTCAGATTAAAGCAACTCTTCCTGAACGAGCGAAATAAAATCAAAACGTGACCAGCTGAGAATAAAAGAAGCAAATGAAGTAAACGATTTCTTTCTGACATATTGGATAATTTTTAAATGCAGTTGGAAATCGGAAAGAAAAGAAAACTGGATAAAATTATTGTTAAACGTGAAAGTAATCCATGGAATGTAGAATGATTGCGCCGGTGAGAATGTTTCCGAATGTTTTGGACAGTCAACAAGATTTTTATTATTCACTTCAATGATGTCTTCCATGGCCCCAGCTCTATTTCAAGTTACTTTTAGTTATTACAACTAGCAGAAGTAATTGTTTACGCTAGTTTAGGGACCAACACTTCTTGAATCGCTATTGATTATAAAGACAGTAAAACAATTCCTTAACTTACTATAACAGTTTATCTCTTGTTTCCTGTTTAGGACTTGGTTTCCTGTTCCTTCTAAAATTTTCTCATTCTCTTTCACTCCAAGTAGCCCCTTGCATCTTAGTGGCATTATCGCCTTGCTTCGGTCTGAATTGATTAAAGTGTGTGTAACAGAGCAGTAGCTTTGATTGAGTGATACTGGTCATGTAAAGTGTTTAGTGACTTGAGGTATATTGATTTGATAACTCTGAGCGAAGGAATCCAGATGTTAGCAGAAAGTGTGTGGGGGATGGTATTCGGATAAATGTCCAATGGAAAAAAATATCCGGTGTAAAAAGATTAATTTAAATCCATAAAACCCTTAGTAGGCTGACTGTATAGGAGCAACTCTATTCTGAATTCAAAATTGAAGAAACAATAATCACTCCACTATCTTTCCCAAGAAACATTCGCGTGCTTGGTTGCTTACGACTTGAAAGGGTATGGCATAAAAAAACAAAAAAAAACTCTTAGATAGATGTTGACTTCACCATCAGTACTATGTTTCTAGGATACGATATTGTAACTATTTACAACGTTCAATCTACCCCTCGGGAACTAGATAAAGGATTCAGTTCGGTTCGAAATTCCAACGTATATCATCTGAAGAAGGCTGGAGCGTATAACGGTCGAAACGTCGTGAATATGGCAATAAAAATGAGGATAACAGCCAGAACGATGTAAATAGGGTAAATATGTCAAAATCAAGTTATACGAAACTACTGGATATCTGTGGGAAAATCCGAGAATTTCTATGAAAAATCAATGTTTGTAGACCTTCCCGGTTAGTTTTTCATAAATTATTTAGCATTGTTCAAGACCCAGGTACATTGTGTAAAACCGCTACAGACAATTCTACACAACTTCTAATTCCAGAGTGAAACAAACAAAATGTCTACTTTGCAATGTTTATCAATTAAAAATTTGTCATTATTCACATACGTCAAGGTTAATTTTCAGCGACACTGTTTATGGGTAATGGACGATGGTTGGGTTTAATGTAACGAGATATCGCAGGAAAAAAAACAAAATAGATTCAATTTGTTCCTGATAAAATATTATGAAAAACAGAAAAAAAATATTTGGTCAAAAAATTGTTCTACGAAATTGCTTTTATAAAACAAATATTTTTCTCTTCAGGACATTTTTTTTCTTAGTAATGTTCACCCAATACAAGACCAAAGAGCCTCTCAATGTTAAAGGTGTGTGGTATGCACGTAAGAGTCGGAAGTGAAGATATGGAGCATAACGATTGACGATATTAAGATTGTAGTGTTCGGAGAAGCATCTACAAAATAACGGCTATTAGGAAACTGAGTGGGACATTCGTCTTACAAAGGGAATACGGAGAGAATGAAGGTGATTCAAACCTGTGGACGTTGCTTAGCTGTAAAGATCTGAACTGGACAACTAAAGAACGGGTCTCGTCTGAACATTTGCCATGGAAACATCGATAAGCTCGTGACGTTGCATCTGTGGGAAAGGGACTGAAAGATGGAAGAAAAGTCACCCCTTCCTACACCAAAATAAAAAACGCGTAAATTATCAGAGAAATTATAGTCTTTACATTGACATGTTACCAAGAGTAATTGCTATAATATAAGATAAATCCATATAAAATGGCAAAAGTCCGGGGTTATTCTGCTTACTCATCTTATTTTCTCAAGAAAATTAAGGAAAATGATTCTGTATGTATTCAGTACTTAATAAACCTACAGTTATCTCCATTTGAAAAAAAAAATTGCAAAAATCATACTTCATTAGAAATTAGTCTGACACTGGTAGCCCGAGTTTGTCTGAAAATTCCTTTATTCTCAAAATTACAATATTTTAGCGACTTTCGCACTACAATGTGCCGTTTTTATTGTTACAGAGACATTCTTCGAGGGGCGGGGAGGTAATTTTAAATGAAAGCAGGAATCCTCGCTCTCGCTAGTTGTGACGTATGTTATATTGGTAGGGAGACTACATAATAATTGATTCAAAGTCGCTTATTGACGATACCTTGTAAATAATCTTGTTGTCGGGTTTTATATTTGTCTGGCGATATTTTTTAAAGCAAGTTAATAGATTCGAAATAATTTTTGTACCATTCGTAAAAGAAAAAGAATGTTTAAGAAAAAGAATGTTTAAGAGAAAAAAATTTTAAATATTGAAATTACCCAATGTATCGAAACCGAGATTTTTGACTTTTAAGTTTTTCTCTATTCATGGAGTGTATTATTTTTACATTATTTCTTCATGATAATTCCAATAAGTTGCAATATCACGTGATATTTAATTAACATTTTAGTGGTTTTCGTTTTCTAAGCCTAAAAAATACTTACTTTTTTTTTTTTTTTCTTTTTTTAAGACGCTGATATTAAATGAAACCACTTTTATAAATGAGGTATTCCACTTACGTCAGAACAGCAATTCCGGGACTAACTCGACGACAGCGTGCTGAAAAGTTTTCAGTCTTATCAAGAAGGTATTCCAAATAATATTTTGGAAAGTGGCGAGAGCAGAGAACTTTTTAACACACTCTCGTATTCAAAATGATTGCCTTTTTGTTGATTAAACATTTCCTACGAAAATGTAAACAAATATTAAATTCTTTTGTTCCAGAATAAGGTCCATTTTAAACCGAAATCGGTATGCAGTGCTATTTTTTTCTCGTAATTCAAAAAGTTCTACAGGTAGCGAAAAAGGTATTAAGACGAACTACCGATGTAGAACTTCCAACACAAAAACATCATTTTTTTCTCATAAGTTCATGTTATCTGACATGTGCAGGTTTTGCGCAGTTGTGACAGTGTTTCGATAACTACATCAGAAACTAATTTCTTTCAATCAAACAGTTCCTAGTAAACAATATTACATACATTAAGGGTCAATCGTTATCTATTCTCTTTGTCCTCATAATCTTCACTTCATACAACCTTCTTTCATTCATATCGCACGTCTCATTCATCCTTTTACTATTACCAGTGCTTTTTCTTTCCAGTCAGCTATTGCTTTACTGTAGTCTTGGGAAGAGGGCGGGGCTATGAAGGAAAGAGATAGTTGACAGTTTAGTAGCGAAAGACGGAAGCACATGAAAGAGTAGTCGTGGCCTCGAGAGACAATTTCCTGGTCATCGGAAGATTATCGCGGATGTAAGCATCAAGGCCATGCATGTGAATGCTGGAATCTTTTCGGCAAAGGGGGAAGATTCCCTAGAATCAAGAATTCATTGGGTTGTTCAGTCGGCCTTTACAATTTGGTGTAATTCTTCAGAATTCACTAAACGTAATTGGTCACTTAGTGGTGGCTTCAGTGTCCCGAATTCCTCAAAATGAAAAATCGGATGGTCTTCAGTCGATCGTAACTTCTCCGAACGCCTGATTGATTCCACTGAATAGACTTATTTTGAAAACCTACAACAGACATGTCTCAATTACTCGTTGGAAACCTTTTTTCTTAACATTGTAATATTGTTATCATTTTATGAGAATGAAATTAATGACTGAAGGTCGCGAGCTAATCTGTGAACATTCTACGCCTAGAATTTCTTCTGGATCAACCTACAGAGAAAATCCAGATTACTGGATCAGGCTTGAAGGAATTCGAAGAACTCATCGCCCCCAAAATTGAGCACACCAATCAAAATAACTCTGCTAGAATAACACTAGTTAATATCGAAATCTTAGAAAACAATGTTGTCAGGTTAAAAAAAAA